TTATTATCTCTTTAACAACGAAACTGGTCCACGTGTGATAATGTCCTAAGACATCAGAAGATTCTTTGTTTGCACTGGATAGCCAATTTGAACTTAAAACAAATTGTTTTGGGTTGGTCATTGAAGCTGTGACAAGCCTATGACCCAATAAGTTTGAAGAAATGTATTTCTTGTTGAGAACTGTGCCCTTGTCCTTGAGATTAACAATAATACCCATTACCCATGTAGACCTTGGTGTAAAGAACAATTTCCCCCCACTTTTCTGAAACTGGGATCTATTTTCTTTGGAAACCTGTGTTTAATATCCCACTTTGCATTTCTTTTGGGGGTCTTCTTCTTCCCCCATTCAGCCACAGAAACCCACTGGGTGATCTTGAGCATATCACATTCTCTTACCCTTAGATGCAGGCAAGGAATAAATCTTGCCAAGAAAACTCTAGGAGAAGACCACCATAAATCAGAATTGTCTTGAAGCTACATACAAGATCAAAGACTTCCAATGACATTTGGTGTTCCTGTTTGTGATAACTAAAACATTTATCCTGGCATGAGCTAGCCTCAAGTTCTATACTTTACATCCCACTGAGCCAGAGCTTGGAAAAGTTACCTTTTCACTGAGCCAGAGCTTGGAAAAGTTACCTTTTTGGACTATAGTTTTCACTCCTCAAGACAGCATGGCAACTGACTATGTTGGCTCAGGAACTCTGAGAGCTATAGTCCAAAAAATAATTCATTCAAGCTTCTTGTGAAATTAATAGGACTTGTAGAATGCTCAGATGTAGCTGGATTTGTACTCGTGGTGCTTTAAGGTGATGTTCCTTTTTGTTGGTGGTGACGTTTCTGTTCATTGGTGTTGTTACCCCAAGATCTGGCCCTCTGCACCGCTCCTCTTTTTTGATATTAATTTGATATCAAAAGGGCTGTTTGGGGCAAGCAGCCGAGAAGGCACCCTCAGTGCAGGAAACTAGCCATAGCCTATAAAGACATCCATGGCCATATGTGGAGATCCAGGAAGCTCAGCATGGGGGAAGCTCAAGAGCACATAGCCAAGAATAGATCAATCAAGATCAGAATCTGCATAATCTCTTTGTTGATAGGAGTGATGGTGGGTAATAGACCTTGTGTTTACAAGTGAACAAAAATGCAAGAATACTTCCCTCTGGAAGTGATACCCTATTGTCCAGAGACATTTGTACTGATTGTCCATCCATTCACAAATTCACTTCTTATTCTCATCTCCTGGAAACTTGGTTTTAATGTCAAAATCTGCCCAGGGATATGCTTTGCCCTATAAATATGCCTGCTCAGGCACCCCAATTCAGTCTTGCCTGATTTCAAACAGACTCTCTGTCAGTATCTCACTTGATTCCTCAGTACCACAGGCAGCTGCTGAGCCATTTCACTTAACAGTGTCCCTTGAGTGGAGCTCCTCTTCTGGAAATTGGTGCATTATCGCTCTACGTTCTCTTCAGTTGCTGTCTGCTACTTTATATAATTAGTTCTTGGCTGTGTGCATGAATGAGTGTCTGTGTGCATGGTGATTCCCCCTGATTTGTAAATAAAGCTATTTGGACTTGCACTCTGAAGTTCTGTTTCTCAGAACCAGTATACACAGACTTAATCCCAGCTTTGAGTTGCCCAAGCCTTGTCAGATGCTTTAATTGAGCTAATAAAATTCCTCTATTGAATATTGATTATGGGTGCCCCTCCCAGGACCCTTGCAATCTGAGTAACAGTGTGATACCTGAAACTGTATTCTTAAATATTACTGAATTGTGAGCTGCTCTAGGGGCTTTGGATGAAAGGAGGATTATCAGTTTTAAAAGCAAAATGAGTCTTAAAACTAAATTATGACATTAAAGAGAATGGTATTTCACCCAAAGAGGAAAAGAACACCAGTTGGTCATTCAGAACTGTTCACAGTCAATATGTATAAGATTGTGTAGAATTAGTCTGTAGAAGAAAGAAGGTATCTGTCATAGTCCAGCTCTCAAACCACTATATCACAAAGCCTTTTCATTTTAAGGCATGGGTAGTCATTGCAGGAGTGGGAAAGCTCTTGTAGCAATGGAGTCCCTTCAGTGAGATATTCTGGATGAAACCTCCTCCTCCTTCTCATTGGATTTCCAAGAAGAAATCAATTTAAGCCAGAACAGTACTTTACAGATGTTTAGCAAAAAATACAGTGGAGCTGTAACTATTGGACTATTAACTAAGCTATAAAAGTAGAGTTATGATGATGCTGGAGCAGGTGAAAAATGGAGCTCATGATTGCCTGAAGTATTTGAGGAAAATTGGCAGGTACTCATGGGATCTTTATACAGGCCTTACAGCTTACATTGTAATTCAGTGATTTCGTTAGAGAAAATAGCAACTCCTTCATCATCACTGTCTTTATCCAGCTTGCTTTTGTAAGTTGTTTTTTTTTAATCAATAGTATTGATGAGCTTGAACTCTTGAAGGGCAATTTCTTCTTTTGGAACATGTAGACTATCAGCTCGAAAAGCATATATTTTATCTGTAATGTTTGGAGGAAGTAAAAGGTGCTATCCTCACTGCAAAGAAACTGGGCAGTGAATAATATCTATTGCTGTCTGTTCCAACTAAACCTATCAGAGGCCGTGACATAAGCAGACAAAGAAGATATGCCTCTAAAACTCAGCAGTGTCATATATCCTTTCATCCGGGGCCTCACATACACTCTGGTCTTTGTGTGAAGCTCTTGCATGAGGCTTTTGCTGTTCCTTCCTGTGGAGTGGTAGTGGGGAGCTTTCATCAAGTTTTTCATAGAACTTTCTTTCCTCTTCCTTGAAATTAAGAGCGGAAGTGTCAAATTTCCATTGCAAGGTTGGAGAACCTATGACCCTCCAAATACTGGTAGTCTCCTATCTATCCCAGCCATCTTGGCCAAGTATCATTCAACAACAGGAATTGGCCATTCAGCATCTAAAAGGCTACCCCTACTTCATCATGGTTGAAGCTCCTATCCACAAACAGTCTTTGGATGGGTGTGGGAAGGTAGATAACCTCAGATTAAACTGCATAACTAACATTGAAAGTGATTTGGCTTCCTTTCTTATCCATTTTTGCAAACATGCTTTTTTGATATATATAGTTGACCCCTCCATATCCACCGATTCAACCATCCATGGCTTGAAAATATTTTTTAAATATATAAATTCCATAAAGCAAGCCTTTATTTTGCTATTTTATACAAGGGATGACATTTTACTATGCCACTGTATTTAATGGGACTTGAACATCCACCGCAGAGGATATCAAGGGCCCACTGTATATATTTTGCAGGCTCAGTCTCAAAGGTTGCATTGTTATACATTTGGGTAACTCACTGGTTGCTGGGTTGTTAATGCAGTCTCTATTAGTGTATGATGCGTGGTCTGTAGCAGCAGGATAGATCGGTGACTCTTCTATCTAAACTATGAGAAAAGGAAATAGTTTCTTAACTGAGTATGGAAGCAAATCTATTCCCTGAATATAAACAACCTGTTTCTCAAAATCTACCATCAGCATGTTTTTTGAGACTGAGCCTGCAAAATATATACAGTGGGCCCTTGATATCCTCTGCGGTTTGTTTCCAGGATCCCCTCGTGGATACTAAAATCCGTAGATGTTCAGCTATGACACTGCTGAGTTTTAGAGGCATATTTTCTCTGTTTGCTTATGTCATGGCCTCTAATAGGTTTAGTTGGAGCAGCCAGCAATAGATATTCTTCACTGCCCATTTTCTTTGCAGCGAGGATAGAACCTTTTACTTCCTCCAAACATTACAGATAAAATATACTTTTCGAGCTGTATATATAATGGTTTTGTATTGTTTTTAATTGTACTGTTTTAAATTTGCCTTGAGTCCCTATATTAGGAGAAAGGTGGACTATAAGAAAATTAATAATAATAATAATAATAATAATAATAATAATAATAATAATAATAATTTAATAGTAGTAATTTCTAGGTTCTGTATAACCACTATGACTTATGGCTATTAATAGTCGCATTCTCTATTGAATTATCTAGTTTGTTGTTAAAGCCACCTAAGCCAGTGGTTCTCAAACTTTGGTCTTCCAGATGTTTTGGATTTCATCTGCTGGAATTCCTGGGCATTAGCTATATTGCCTAAGAAGACAACCTGTAGGACCGGTGTTTAAGAATCTACTAAGAGCAAGTGACCATCACTATTATATCATATGGCAAAAAATTTAAAAACTTAACTATATATTATGGAAAACACCTTTAATTTGTCTACCCTGTATCTACTGCCATCCTGAATTTACAATACGATTGGTCATAGGAACAGTGAATGGTACTCACAAGAAAAAGTCATGCTACTCAAGTCCAATCAAATGTCTTTGGCACAGAAAATCCCCCAAGCAGCTCTTTCTCTCTTTCTCTCTGGCAGTACAGGTTAAGCATCCCTAATCTGAAAATCCAAAATGCTCCAAAATCTGAAACCTTTTGAGTGCTAACATGACGCCACAACTTCAGTGTACACAAACTTTGTTTCATGCACAAAATTATTTAAAATATTGTATAAAACTACCTCCAGGCTATGTGTACAAGATGTATGTATTTTATTATCAGAGACCGCCTCCTCCCATATAATCCTCCCCGCGCCCTCCGGTC